ATTCAGTTGGGATGATGCCTATGTCTAACAACTACTAGATTTTCAACTGTCAAATTAGATGGTTTAAAATTGTTGTGCAGAACATGCAAATGGAACAGGGATTCCAAGATTATGGTTCAGGGGAGTTCCACTCTGACATTCTCTCATAATTTGAGCAAAAATGGAAACAGACAATGTCCACTAAAAGAAAAACAAAAAAATGAAAGACAAAGATTCAGGGGTAAATTTTTTGATCCATTTCTAAATATCCAGCATGAGAGAAAAGAAAAAACAAAGCAATGTCATGCACCCTCGCTGTGTAAAGCATTTTCTAGAGGGGCAAAAACCTAATAAAATCCAAGTAAATGATTACGTGAGTGCCCCTCCCATTGTCACTTCCATTACTTACAATTAGACCATCACTTCCATTATCACGCTCATCACTGCTGCCAGTATTATTTTCGGACTAATCATTACATTTTGACTTTGTAGATCCCTTACTCTGTGTCCCACTTTCACTCCCACTACCACTAGACTGAGAAAGGAATATCAAATAATCCCAAATTCAAGGATATATTAAAAAAAAAAAAAAAAATCTAATTCTAATGCCATGACCGAACCTCGAGTTTAAGAGGAAAATATTAGGGCATTCGTGCTTTTTGAAATAGGCTAATTGAATTTGCCAGTAAATTATCAACCTTCCTAAACTTCAAATTGGTTCATGACATTTCAATAACATGTCTAGAGCAAAAATGTATAGCTAGTCACACTGTGGCATCTCCTCCAAACATGCTGCCATAGATTTTTAAGTTCCTTCTTTCAAATAGGTTTCACCAAAAAATCAACAGCACCCTTTGACAAACAGTTAAAGACTAGACCCATGGAATCATCAGATGACATCACTGCAAAGATAGTTTATCATCTACGGTGATAGTTAAATTCATCAACCAGAAATAAGCATAGGGAAAATATACCTCTTAAACCAGAATAGAAACAAAAGTGAATGATACTTACTTATGACAGGAATATTCTTGAAAGATTTGTGGCTCATGATCTTGCTTAAAAGACCAAGCCCTGATACAACAGGCATGGCTACCTCTGTTAGGACAAGATCCACATGATTAGTCAGATCTTCTAGGATTTTCCATGCTTGAAGACCATTTGCAGCAGCTGAAACTGCCAAAATGAACTTGAGGTTGAAGATTGCAAGAGAAATAATAGTTAAGCCATCAAACCAAAGCGGCAAAGACCCACTTTTAAGATAGCATGAATTCTCCCATGACATATGACATGATTAAATGACACTTTAAAGCAATCCAAAACAATACTTCTAGTGATCCATGATTGTAGTAATAAATTTGAAAACTGTGATTCAAAACAAGTATGCCGAATCTTTCTGGATAGTGTGGACTACATGCAGTGGAGCAGTCTAGATGTAAAATGGCAGAATGATTAGCCTAGAGAAAAATCAGGTAATTCACTCCTTGAACCGACAAGCAACTCATTAAAAATGATCTTTGAATCGTACTATCTATTAATGATGTCCAATCTCAAGCAAGAAATGCTTCTCCCACCCTTTTTTCATTATTTGGCAGAACATCAAAGAAAGACCTTCCAGTTACACTATTCAATTCACAAAAAGAAAGAAATGATGCTCACCTTCATAGCTGCAATTCCATAGTAAGGCACTAACAACATTACGTGTTGATTCATCATTCTCCACTAGGAGAACCTTCAGTGATCTAATAGGAAGAAACCTCTCCCAACGTATCACAGGACCTTGAGGTTGTTGTTGTGATATCTCCAAACCATCTTGGACCTCCGCTGCCCCTCTAGCTGTTGCATCATCAACCCTTGATTCATTTTCCTCAGATGAACCTAAGCCCTGCCCTTCACTAACTACTCCATTGCTTACCCTCTTTTTCTCCTGACACATGCTGTTATTCTCTTCTGACGTCTCTCTAACAAGCAGACCATTGTTCTTAACATTGCCCCCACCAACCAGATTTAAAAAGACCAATCATGATGAATGACAAAGATTGAAAATACCATATACGCTTGTTCCATAATACTTGGCATCAAACTCAGTCAGAATCATGTCCCAATCATCATAATCGACAAAAACCAAATAAACTATGAAGCCTGGAGCAAAATTTATACAATCTGAAATATGCATGATCAACTCTAACAGACAGCCAAAACTAAAGTCAGGTAGAAAATGCTAAAAGTCGAAGTAATCTCCAAAGAAAAGAAAGACAATCATAGGTAATAATCAGATCTAAATGTAAACGAAGAAACTGCTTCTGTAATCCGAATCCACACACCATAATCTCCTAAAAAAAATAAAAATAAAAATAAAAATTCTGAATCATACCAAAACAAAAATATCAAACTCCAGCGTAGAACAGACAAAATCCGTAGACGCGCTTAATGCAAATCGATCAAAAAAGAAACAATCCAGAACTGTAAAAAAAATAATAACAGAGAGAGAGAGAGAGAAATGAATCCGTCATGTTTCTCTCCGCTTAGAAAAACAAGCGTATATTATATTCAGCTCAGAAACTAATAAATTTTCCATCCTTCGCTGATATTTTCTCAGTTTCCAAGCAGACTATTAAGCAAAGAGGGCGAGATTTAGCAGATTTTGTAAAGAAAGTAACAATACAAATCAAAGAACTAAAACGAGTAAACAACAAATCATATTCATTTATAATATATAAGATATCAAAATTCGACAGAAGAACACTGTAAACCAGAATAACGTGAAAACTTCACCTCAAAAGCTCAGCCATGGAAGCAGAAACCGCCATTATCATCTCCGAAGAAGCTCTGTAACAAATCAACCATATTTCAGCTTCTCAATGGCATGTTTAGTGCAAGTTGGGAGAGCTTATGCAGTTTACGGATGATAAGTTTAAATTTTTATTATATAGAATTTTAAAAATTTTATTTAAAATAAAAAATAAGTTTTTGAAAAGTTTTAATTTAAATTTTTAAATTTTTACTGTTTAAAGTTTTGTTAAAATTAATAAAATATTTAAAAATATAAAATTTTAAAACAAAATTTTAAATTTACGAAATATAAATAACATAAAAAACTGAAAGCCTCGAAAAGCTACATCAAACGCACCATTAATTTGGTTTAACAGTGATATATATATAATATTTATTTATCTTTTGCTGGAAAAAGTTTACATTTCTTTTTTTTAAAAATAATAATAATAGTATTTTTAAAGTTTCGGAAAGAGAGCAAATTACTTAAATAATTAATTTAGCATTTATTTTTTAAAAAAATAAAAATTTTAAATTTAAATTATATAACATGCTTATAAAATAGGATAATAAATAAAAAATAATTGTATAATTAAAATAAAAAAAAGGTTTCAAAAAGGGAAAAAGGCTTTTGACTGGTTGAAGAATTGGGAGAAGCACGTAGGAAAATTATTTAAAAATAATTTTTTAATTATTTTATTATATAATTTTATGTGTGGTTTAAATAATTATTTTTT